CACTTGACACCTCATCCCCCCTTCCTGGGGTATGATTTGCATAAAATTTAATTAAAATTGACTAAGCTGGATAGAAGTTGTAAATATGAAAAATTACATTCAAACAGATTAGGCCAAAATAAAAAATACCTTTGTTTCCACTTACGCGACCGACCCAATTAAAGCGCACCGACTGAAAAGATTTTTTTAATATGATAATTCAAATATTTTTTTTTATTGTTAACCAAGTTTTATAAAACACAATTACATGTATATCAAAATCAGTTTTTATCAGAACGGCCAACATTGTTCTACAGTGATTTTCAAACATTTGTTGGAAACAAATGACGTCCAGGTGTGATTATTTAAACAGAATGCTTTCTTTGTTTGTTATAACTGGAATGAACGGAAACTGCTTTTGCAGAAAAAATATATAACTCGCGTAAGCATAAAATTTGTTTATATTTATATCTGTTTAAATAATCAATTAAAGTAGGATTAAAAAGATTAATTATTGTATTAATGATGCAAACGTCTTTATACGTTTAATTGATGGAACAGCCACTGATTAAGAAATCTGTGCAGGCGACATGCCTACTGTAGTTTATGCAGTGATGAACGCAATGGGGTTTCTTAAGAAATAAAGGAGAACATATTCAGTGGATGTAAATATAGGCCGGGGCATTAGCTCTTCATAAAACAATGGCGGCGTCTCAATCTTTCGCTTTTAGCACATTGGAATTCTTCACTCTTGAAACAATTCGATAATAAAATTTACTATGACTAAATATGAGTGTTTCAGAGGTATCTTGGCGTCTCCATGTGAGTGAATAAATTTTCGAAAGGGACGTTAAACAACAAACAAACCTGTCTTTGAATTTAAGGTACGTCATACATGCTAAGGTTCACCTCATGAGTACACGAGGGGTCCACCTAGTGAACACATCATTCAATTTCACTGCATTTTATTTGATTTGAGTTTTGATCTAATAAGCAGTTCATCTATGTTCCTATGTTTACTATATGCCATTATGGAACCATAGGAGTTGTTGTAAATATGTCTGCATATTCATCCTGATAAATATAATTCAGATGTCCTTTCTTCATGCCTTTATTTAGTGGTTAAACTTCGTGACTATGACATTATATATAGCATTTTCATCATTTGTAGTGTCGGTTTGGTTCAATTAAATATAGTTAACATACGCTTTCCAAATATTTTTGAAATCATGATTCAGGTTCCCGAGACGTCCAGTGTATATTTCTTTAATTAGGCCCTTAAGGTTGTGTCCTTGCTTTTAATCCCTTCGAGATTTGTTAGGACGACATTTAAACATTCTCCATTCCTCCAAATTTAGACGTACTCAGCACTCTTTGCCATTAAGCAGTGGGGATCCTTTTTGAGCCACATCTTCTGCGACACTGGACAAAAGTTTTTATGGTCCCCTTTCAAGGACCGTTTTCAACGTTACTCATTGGGATTTGAACCTGCGATTTAAATTTACCCACTTAACTTCTAACTCCAAAGCAAAATGCTCCAGACCCACAGCAAATCTCATGGCCCTCAAAAAAAGTACATTGATAATCTATAAGCTCTGAACGCTGATGGAAGGTTTGAAAAAATATACTCATATGTCTTTGTGTATTTGTGAATCTTGTCAATTTTATTCAATTTATATAAATATAATGCCATGAGATATTTCACAAATTCAACTAAATAATAACTAATTAATCATGAATTTTGCTTTTAAACGGCATATGTACGATACTTAGTATTTTGTTCACAAATCTCTTTCTTTGTACTTTTCTTATTTATAAAGATAATTTTCCATTTAATTTTAGAATTTTTTTTCAAAACTGCTGTCAGAAAATAAAATTGTTCACCTACCTACCGACCCAATTTGAAAATTTAGGGTCGGGTCAGGGGAAACAAAGATATTTTTAATTCCGGCCTTATGAATAACTTTCAGCACATCAGACATGAAGAAGTGATCCTTAAATAAAATACACCTACAAGATGAAGCTGTTTTATTTCTTTAAAGTGATATCTAGTATTGTTTCTTTTCTTGTATATTCATGTTATACATGTATTAACATAACCTATGACCGTATAATACCCCAGTATTTATTTTACAATTAATTAAGTTCTGGAACCAACCCTCAAATGCCCTTAAAACAAATGATTCTAAACTGGCAAAGGTAAAGGGCATCTGAAGAATTTAAAATAAAATGATAGTACAATCAAGCAAACAGTGTGCATGAAAAATGTTGGCAAACACTAGAAAAAATACTAAGGGACTTTCTCAAACTTAACATGAATACTAAAGAGGTTTTATGTAGCTGTATTGCACATACCAAAAGCTTTCCTGCAGTTAAAGGTTGGTTGCCTAGTAGTTATGTAGTATGTACAAGTTTTTCCCTCTATCTCTTCTAATTTAAGAAGCGAAAATGTCTCTAAAAATATTATGGTTGGCATGAAGTACTTAGTATTCCTGATCATTTTACTGATTACTTACAATTGTCCCATTTCTGAGGGACATCTTCTGATGAGTGTGTTCTCTGCAATGTTCACAATTGAAGTTCCTGTTTGACCTGTTACATATTGAAAATCCTCAATGAACATGATTATGGTTTTAATTTCCATTGTAAGTATTGATTACGTTTATAAAAAATCTAAACCAATTTATTGTAACATAATACTTAGGAAAATATTTATGTAATATCAATGGAAAAAAAGGAATCATTATCTCCAGTTATCCTAAAATCACAAGTAAGCATTAATCATATAAATTCGCATACGTAAACCCATTAGCTTTTTGTGCTATTAAATCATAGTCATCGCTGTGCAATAAAGAAAATCAAGTACTAATCCACAACTTTGTGGCAATAAAGTTACTATCCCCGAGTAAAAAGTGACAAGCCCAAATATAGAGGCAAAAATTAAAAAGTAACATTGAATAAAGTCAGGGTATTAACTACAGATGATTCCTTTTAAAATTAAAGTTTAATTTAATTTTCGCTAGTAAAATTTAATCATATATAAATTAATGATTTAAAAAAATGAAAAAAACGATTTTAAATATTCCTCTTCTGGTCATTCACTAGTTCGTCTAATTAAAACGAAGCAAAAATCATCTTGAATCATTTAAAGCCATATATGGCGTATGTACAATGAAAATTATTAGACTAAAATTATAAGAACTTATTATTTGTATCATTACTTTATATAAACATGATAAAGATAGAAATTTTCCGTAAATTACAAAATCTAAGTCAATTGCGTTATGAAGATATCAAAATTTAATTTGGATTCTCGGAATTTTCTCCGACTCGGAAGAAAATACAGAAGATTTAAATAACACATTACAGAGAAGATAATATCGTATTATTAGATGAAACGAGGTGTTCTCCTTGCTCCGAATTGTATGAAAAGCTTTAATTTAAATGTATTAATTATATTTCTTTACTTAATTTTGTATTTTAATGACACTTATCATTGAGCTGATTGAGTGAATGTATATAATATAATAATGAGATATCTGTGAGGGATATATGTACAAGCAAATATTGCTATATTAAACAAGGGAAAGAGGGGAATTCAAATTAGGAAATAAAAGATCGTTTTTAAGTAAATCAGTCTTGTAGTACTGCAAAATGGATGCAGTTGTGGAGATTTATGGATAGTATGAGCATGCTGTCTGGAATATTTCCATATTAGGGGATTTAATAGCAAAAAAGAGTGAAAATACTGGTGGTGCTTTTCATGTATTACATTTGAATTCCTGATAGCCCAAGGGGATTCCTCAGTGCAGAAAACCACTAGCCCCATCCTCAAAAATGGAAGCCCCGGGTGTAGCGCGATGCTAATTACACACCCATCATGTGAAATAGTTATAGTAGCCCTATATCGATTTCAGTATTGTTTTAAATTACCCTGTAATTAAAACAAATGACAAAAACAATATTTAAAAAAAAAATCAAAATAAAGCAGACACTCATAGTCAAAATCAAAGACAGAAAGAAGCACTGTTTTGACTGAAAGTTTTTCAGTAATACAATGAATCTCTTAAGTTACCTATCATATGAGATAAACTTACATACAATTATTTAGTTGTTGTCAATTATCCCATTTATCATCATCTCAGCTCACTTTGCGATTGTAATACTGTCTACCTGAACCGGTAATTTACAGCTGATTTATGAACACATGATTGTTAAAATTTTCATTTCCCTTTCCAATATACATTGTCAGAACATACTTAGTTGGTTATAATATAAATTAAATAATAAACACTTTCGATTTATTTAAGATTATCTAACAATATACGATCATTTACTAAATACTTCTCGCCCTCAAGAGAGTTTAAAAGACAGAGAAAATTCAAAATACAAACAAGTGCAACTTGGGATTAATTGTTCCGATATATCTATTTTGATTTTGTGCACACTTGTTTTCAAAATTACATTAAAATCTATTTTCCTTAAACAAGAACCCAGCAATGGATAAATATTAATCGAATAAACTTACCTTTTCTCTTGTTAATCAGAAAATCTTGTTGACATTAAGTGTTTCTTAGTCGCCATATTTTTTTCCATGAAAAGAAGCGTTGTTATGATCAGGATCAACGGAAATTGATTTTCGGAACTCTCGAGAATTTAGAGTTCCGAATGTAAAACTGAAACAACAAAACACGGTGCGTCCGTGAAAGCAACTTTTTGGACACTTTTTTGGACAAATCGTCGTGTCCAAGTTTTGTTGGGTACTAACCTGCAAATACCCAATTAGGGTGTTTTAAGCATATTCAGCGATACTTCTTATTGGGTATACCCAATAAGCAAAAAGTACCCAATAAGTACAATCTTGGCATGAAAAATACCCAATAAATGCACTCTCGTAAACACGGACAGACAGACAGACGGACAGACGGACGGACAGACAGACGGACGGACGACGGACAAAATGTGATCAGAAAAGCTCACTTGAGCCTTCGGCTCAGGTGAGCTAAAAAAAAAATGACAATGCTGCACTGGGACATAACACTTGATGCAGGACATTTTATATAAAAAGTTAAAAAAAAAAAGATTCTACATGAATATCTGGAGCAGCTTATTAAAAAGCCTGAAAAACACTCACAGTGTAGATTATGCATAATAGAGAATATCTGTTGATTGGCCTATTACTAAACCCGACATCACAAGTCGACATTAAATTATGCATACATTTTTTTAAAAAAAGAATAATCTACACTCTACAGCAGTGTAATACTGCAACTGACGTATACAATACATAACATAGTACATTAAACATGAAAGACTGCATGTGGAGTGATCTATTACCACACCAGACATAAAACAGGGTAGATTAAATATGAAAAATGGAAAAAAAAAATCTATATGTGGAGTGATTAGTTTCCACTTTAAATGTAACACTCAATCAAGAGATACATGTACCCGGTAATATAAAGCTGACAAAGAAAAGTAGTCTATTGACTATGTTAGTTTATTTTCAACAAGCGATTCTTGTCCTGCTCTTTTCTGGAAGGGATGGAAAGTCATTCTGCCGTCGATCTGCAGTAGTTGAATCATCATCAGCATGAATGGTCTGGACTTCACATTCATATACCTTGTACTCTGTACTGATGAATCTATCTGTAATTTATAAAATTTAACAAATACAATATTATCTGCAGTCAACGTCAAAATATATTTCCCACGATGTCTATATCTTATATATAGAATTTCGATGAAAAAACATGTATATGTAACAGGAAAAGAGAAAATGTATGGATGGACCGGGAATCAAACCTGAGATCCCTGCATCACTAGTCATGTGCTATACAGACTGAGCTACCCTGGACGATATACATCCATGGCCCAAACCATTACATATTACATACATGTATATATAACTTGCAAAAGTTTACACCTCATACATGTAAATTGCCAATTTTCTACACTTATTAAATTTGGCATAAAAAATTTAAATGATGACTTAACCATTATCACTATTTTGCTGAAATCAAGATCCCCTGGTCTGCTATGGGTTGGTGGTCCTATACCAGAATGTACCATCTTGATGGCTGAAAAAAAAATAGATCAAATAAATATACATGTATACCAGCAAAACCAAAATTTAATTATATTAGTTGATTGGCAAATCACTTTTTAACCAGTAAATCTAATATTAAATTAAAATGCCCCACTGCCTGGCCAATATTCTAACTATACAGCAGCAGTAATATAAAGATTTGTCAATTTCATCAGACCAGCTAACAACATGTAAACAGTTTCAATGTTTACCACACTGACACAGTTTTTACCAGTGAAGAAAAACAAAAATAATCTGTCCAGCTAGGGTTCGACACTAAGGGTAGTCCGCTGGCCCGCGACAACTGAATATTGAGTTTGGACTACTAAACATGCCTTTAAACTTGCCCTGCAGGGCTACTGTAAATTTTACCAAACTGAAACACTCACTCAGAGCAACAAAAATAATTATAATTTACACAAAATTTACCTGATTATTGATAAATTAATTTTAATTTTCAAACATGTTTTATCCTCAAAATTATTTTTGTAAGTCAAAATGTAAATACTTTAAAGGTGAATCGAAATACCCTAAATGATTATAAATGTGGAATTTTTTGAGTAGAAAAATATCTTAGGTACAATCTGACAAAAATTAGGCCCCCAGTGATCTTGGAAATAAAAATAAATTATCTGTCCTTCACTGTAAATACATAATCTGACACCCATAAAATTTGCCCCCCCCCCCCGCCCTCCCACCCCCATCAAATGAATGACAGTCCCTATATTACATTCTCTGAATTTACTAATGTTAAGTTTAATGCTGAATTAAAATAGGCCTATTATTATGAAAGTATGTCATGTAAATTTATCTATAGATATGACTTACCAAGAGCTATACTTTTAAGTTGATATCAACAGTGATCATAATCCTCTCCATCGTATTCCTTTCGGGGCCGGGATTTCCCGTGGAAAGTGTCGGTAAATCCATAAATAGTACAGTACTATCAGTCCCATTTACATGTAGGCCTAACCAGCTGCGTCGTCTCCTTTGGAATATAGGGGGTGCTAGTCAGTCGTTTGCGATACACAGACATTTTAGTTCATAAAAAGGTTTTATTGTTTTCTGTTTCTTAAGATGTTATATTCTCTCATTCGCTGTAATTTACTTGATCTACCTTTACAGCTGAGCCTTCCTATAACGTTTCCCGTGTACTGTTCTCGGAGCACGTTGTTTACAACTTGCAGTCCGCCATATTGAACTATGCGCATTTCCGGAATAAGCCAACCGAAAAATTCTTAATTTAGAATTCACATGCAATGTCACGTGATCGCTATCCGTAGCTACGTTAAAAGGACAGAAAGTATAATATTAATTAAAGTTCAAATTCACAAAGCATAATTCCATGAATGAAGTTATAAACCAATCTTATCGGATTTACAGGGTTTTAGGAAAGGGGGTGGGAGCATGAGCATTATGGCAGTTTTAACAATCCCACGGCCAACAAACGGGGTCTCATAAGCTTCACTATTACCCCTGTTGGAGTATGTCATGTCGGCTGAATCACTCGGTGCTACTGTGTTTAGACAGTGGAGACGCGTTTGTCCCTACGATACCGTAATAGCCATACTTAACACTTAATTGAGAATGTCGATAAAGGACCGCTGAAATACCCGGTGCATTTTCTAGTACTTTTAGAAAAGAAAAAAAAATCATGCATACAGGTCCCATTTGCATATAACATGTATGCTTTGTTAAGCTTAATCTTTGCATAATACATCCGTAATTTTTTTTCATTTTGTTAACTATCTTAATTTGGAGTAGCTAACTAAATTTTAACTTGAAATGTGAAAAAAGTAGAATTGAAATAAATTTTTTAAAAGTTAGACTTGCAAATTCATGTCTCAGATCCCTAACTATAACGGAACAAAACTATAAATTCCTAAATTTGATGGCCACAACCTAAATAGTCTCATTCGATGAAAAAACAAGCTTATTCAGTCAGAGAATCTGAGTCTCCTTTACTTGTAAAAACTCAAAAGTGTTTTTAGATATTGACTGGAAATGAAATTTTTACACACAGTCACGAAAAAATAGGGGTCTTCCTTTCGCCATAGGTACAGTAATTGTTGTATAAAATTTCTTTCCAAAAGCTTAAAGGCTTCTCGAAACATTGCGCAGAAACAAAGTTTTAAATCAGACAGAATTTTGAATGTTTTACCTTGACCTTTTGACCTCAAAGTCAAAAGGAATTGTTCATAGACCATAGTGAGTTGTGTAAAATTTCATTGTATAATCTAAAATATTGTGAATATATCAGGAAAATGAAAGTGTTGCAGACAGACAGAACTACAGACAGACGAACGAAATGACAGACAGACCGAAATTAATATCCTCCACTTTCAACGGTGGACAACAAACGAGCAAGCTCAGTCAGTTTTGTCTCTTCCCGAAGTATCCGTACTATGCATTAACGAACCAGTTCGCTAATTTCCATCGGGATCGAAATGTTATTTAATGAAAAGGAAAGTAAAACCTGTAAAACCTGATTAACTGCAAAATCTGTAACAAGTAGACTAGAGCTTTTTATACGCCCGTCTTAAGACGGGACGTATTATGTTATAGGCTTCGTGTCCGTCCGCCTGTCCGTCTGTCCGTTAGCTTTTTCGTTTCCGGCTCATAACTTTAATACTATTAGGCCTAGGATTATCAAACTTTTGTCATCTGATGCATCTTGGGTAGAAGGTGTGTCGCGCACAAAAAGTAGGTCGCTCTGATCTTTTATTAAGAAGTTATAGCCAAATATGGAAAAATAGCTCTTGTTGACTTTAAATGAATTTGATGAAAAGTAATTAAAACTAATTTGATATTGCATAATAGACTAATCTGATATTATATAATATTATTAATCTAAATTCTAATTTTAAGGGGTGGGGTGGAATCAGCATTTCCATATGAATTACATATTAAAACCTGTCGGACATTAAATCTCAACCAAAAAAATCGTTGAATATTTTATATGTTTAGAAAAAAAACTTATGGTAGATAGTGCAGACCCATTCATCTCTTGGTAGTAATGAGTAGACAAGCATCCAGTTAAAGATTAATTAATGAGTTCAATGTAGGAAGGCTAGCTGATCAAGCGGCTTATCTGTATCCTTTGGGGATTAGACAAAAGAAGTGCTGATCAGTTTATAGCATATGTCATTTGATGGCCAGGCTTTTCTTTTCAAAATTAATTTGGTATAGATTAAGATGTTAAGACTAATTTGATACTGTTTAATATGATGGGCATTTGACAAGGTCTAACACAACCAGCATAGAAATCTATTAATGATGTAATATTTATTATAATTAATGCCTAGATAACAGGAAATGGATAAATATTTGAAGGAATGGAAAAATCATGGAAATCTTGGAATCAAGGTTGACGTGATTTTCTTGCACACTAAAATGTTCAAGAAAATTGTATTTTTTTTTGACGGGCGTATCATGCTGTGGCGCGGCACTTTATTAAAAAAGCTTACCGTCTTAAGCAACAATCTTAAACAGTTAACTCATCTACGCCTATCAGGCCGTATAATTCTTTTGAATTTCTTGATTTTGTATTTCTACATTAGCTTTTTACTGGCATTAGCCCTACCATGATTGTCGCTCGGTCATCTCCGTAAACTTTGACTGGCCGAGAGCTTTCGGCAAACCTCGGCTGATTCCATTCCCTTCTTCAAACAAGAAAGGGGAAAAGAAAAATAACAAACTGTAAAGCCTGCAAGCAATAAAAATCAAATTTTATTTATAATGAAATTAAAGAAAGTCACTCAAACGGTCGTTTACGTCATATTACATTTTGTAGATAGCATTGCGGAATGCACAACATCCACCTGTCGCGGTTGTACAATTTTATAATGGATTTGTGATTTGAACATATTTTATTGATTATACTTTACAATTGGGTTGGGCAAAAGTTCTAAAAACTTATTACGCCCTCTCCCTACTATACATTATACCAAACATATTTACATACATGGGTTTCTGCTTTAAATGAAATAACAATAATAATAATAATATATAATAATCAGAGTAAAACACATTCAATAGAATACATTTCATATATAATAGACATGCTGTATAAGATTTACAATTAGAAATAACTATTGTATCAACCAAATCGTCCTGACTTTTTAATAAAAGTTTGTACAATAGAAAATAGGTATTCATTTTCAAAATCATTTAACGATTTGTCTCCCCCAGAGTAAAGTGTGAGTATCGACAGTGTGTAATTTACCCATTCGCAAAAATTTGTCAAAAAATTCTTTCCTGGCTTCTGTATATTTTTTGCATGAGAAGAAATAATGATGAGTGTCCTCCACTCTTCCACAAGAACATAGTGGACTCAAGATCACATTACATCGAAAAAGATCGCTATTAAGCACACAGTATGTCTAAGCCTCGTGTGTATTATATTTAAGCGTCGAGTTCCATAACTGAAGTAAGAGGGTGGCATTTGTTTATTGTAAGAAATATACTTTTTAAAAATAGATAACGAGGGAGAATTTCTTACATTAAGAGGTAATGAGTTCCATTCTTCAATAACAAGGGGAACGAAAGTTGATTTGTAAGCTTGCAATCTGCATTTGGGTATGTTATAGTTCTGCGAGTTTCTCGTACTGTAACTTGATGAATTACATCGTAAGTTTGGGATTATATCAGTGAGATATTCAGGAACTTGGTTTTTATCAATTTTATACATTGTAGTTAGTCTGGTCTTTTTCCTTCTTACATGTAATGGTTCCCATCCAGTTTCAATATAAAGTGCATCTTTAGAAGCTAACAGAGTTAATCCTGTGACAATTCTAGCAGCACATAATTGTAAGTTTTCTAATTTTTCGCTGTCACCTATATTACATCCACCCCACACCAAGGAAGCATATTCTAACTGTGGCCTAATAAAGGTTGTGTACATGAGTGAAAGAGTTTTTCGGTTGACAACAAATTTAAGTTTTTTTAACAAGCCCAATTTTTTATATGCATTGGCTAATGGATAATGTTTCTCTTCTATAGTAACGTGTCATGAATGCTTTGTCTATATCCCCAGAATATCAAATGTTATATAAAAGGTACATTAAGCAGCGCCAAATAATGTGCCATAGCCCTGTGCTCATGGAGCTGACATTGCATAGAGTTTGTCGGGAATAATTTCGGGAAAATGAGAAAATGTCCAGAAATTGAAACAGCCCCTTTTCCAACAGGATATCTATACCTTGGATAGCGCGCAAACAGTGCATGCTGTATAACTTTCGTCACCTTCGTTAAGTCAGGATCGCCAAGAGATTGAATTTTCACGACTTCTGTGTGCCCTGTAAGAATACATGATGTAGTTAAGTATTTAAAGCGGCTTTAAACTGTCTTCTTTTCCCTTCAAATGGAAAAGGATTTGAATTAAATGTAAGCATATATTTTTAACTTACTTATCTGTATCTTGAAATGTTTTTCTTTAAAATAAAAAAGTACTGCTTACGTTGTGCCATTCTAAAATGAACATTATGCAGCCTGTTAATAGGCGTTTAACGAGACAGTGAATTAAAGAAGTTGAAAGAGCCTGTAACAACATATCAATCATTTTAAAATTGATCATACCAAAAATAATATGAGCATGTAATTAGTCTTAAGACATTGCTTTTGAAAGTAAAAACAAGAAACCCATAGGCCTTATAAGTCACCTGAGCATCATGCAACAACTTTCCAATGATTGAATCTGGTTCATGTTTTAAACTAGACGCCATGGCATTCACACCATTGCTCATCATACCTAAATACTTCACATGTTTAGTTTGGTAACTTAATACCCATAGGCAGTGTAAGGGAACAAAAAATGTAGTTCAACTATTCAGCAATAATTAGTAGTGCCCCTACCACACATGAACCCTGATCCTAGGTCCACACATTTCTCAATTTTGGAAAAGGCACCCTTACTTATCAAAAATGTTTGATTTATACCAAGGAGCAGATTTCAATAAATTCATTTT